CACCCATCTTACTTTTCTTTGCTTATCTGCAGGAAATCTAAATAATATAATGTACTAAGATTTACTTTTACAATTTGGTGCCACACAATAACTCATTCTTTCACTTTTCGAACACTTAAATTTAGCCGACTCACACAGGAACCTCGTATATCGTATAGGGTATGCAAAGTTCCTGCGTAAGATCCAAAATGGCCACTGCTGCAAAGGCCATAATTTTCAAAATAAGAATATTTGTTATGTTACAGAATGTAGGAATTTTTTGGAGGTGTACCGTCCAGATACGTCGGGCCTTCACCACCCGGCAGCCCTGTTGTGGGCCTGGCCGAACCCATGATGGGATTGCTAAAAGAGGCTTTTTTTAAAACTCTTTCCACTCTGTGGGCCTTCTTAGTGCCCACAGGGCAGAAAGAGTTTTAAAAAAAGAATATGGGACATCAGTAGTACAGTAGAGCATCGATTATCCGAACACATATCAACCGAAAGTGTTTCAGTCGACAAATTCAAATTTCCGGTAGTGCTGTGTCACTGCAATACTTGGCTATGTCTTGTTGGTGTGTGTGTTTTAGCTGGCAGCACTGGCACGACATATTGTATCGTTAAAAATTTCTTTATTCTGCACCAACAAAATAAACATATTGGAAAATATGAAAACAAAAAAAAAATTATATTTCGGAAATTCGTTTTAATATAAAAATTATGATGCATAGCGACATCTAGTATCAAAAACGTTCCGATTCATACACGTCGAGAGGGCACTTAAGGACGCGCTAGTATGTGAACGAGGCTTTCTTCCCATCGTGAGCTATTCGCGTTTTTCACGAACTATAGAGGGCGCTGCATTTTTTACAAAATGGCTACCTTATCTGGGTCGCCTGTAACTAATAATGTAAAATTAATCATATATTACTGTCCGATATACTGTAATGATATATGCTGCTCGTAGCTGTTTATCGAGAAATATAAGAGGAGAACAATTATTGCTAGCGGGACGGTTAGATTTAACTTAGGTAGCCAACATGGCCGCGCTCCGACTGTTCGTGGTCCAGACGGGAGCCGCCGAGTGCCAAACGTCACTAGTTATTGATTTACGGTAGTTCTTGAACAAAATAAATAAATAAATAAAGGAAACGTCTACTAAAAATCTAGCTAATCTAACCGAAACGCCGCCATTTTGGCTACCTAAGGTAAATTTAACCTCCGAATAGTTTTTAATGATATACTATGACATTCGCGGCGTAATCCCATTTAGTTTTACGCGGATTAACTACAATTAAAGCGAAACCAAACAAAAATAAAACCGTGCCACGTATCGACTTACCTTTATGCCAGTGTCAATTGAAACTTTCGTCGAATAACACAAGTTTTTTCGGTATCGTTCGATTTTCCAGCACGCTCACGTTCTACGAGAAAAATGCTTCCGGCGTATGCAAATTATCAAAGCGCGTGACTCTACGTAAATACTATTGGGCCTATATCGAGTTAAATTAATATAAGAATTAGTGATTAAAAACATTTTAATTTGACTCGCAATTTAAAATATTTATTTGAAAATTATCGTGTTTTAGTAACAAATGGGAATAATAGAATTACGTATTGGTATGCGCGCCGCTTAACCTTCCCGGCAACATTTAAAATTGCGCGTGTGCCGCCATCTGTTACGATATTTTATTATTTTANTTAATGATAGAAATAGGATCATTCTGTATATATATCATATAAAATTCTGTGGTCTGTCTAACTATGGCTTATGTGCAATTTGGCCTATCAATCTAACAGTTTGGGCACTACTGCTGTATTACCTAGTGGTATGTTATAGCTTCATGGGACCCATGCAATTTGAATTAGGAGGCCCCATGTACAATGTTGACTTCAGACATTTTTTGGAGGGGAAATATTTGGGCTCCAATTTGAAAAATTGTAGACCTGTAAATTCCACTATCATTTCGTGTTTGGTTTTAGGTTCAAATAAAAAATCCTAAATGAGTGAGAATAAACCAAGCATTTTGCATTTCTTTCGTAATACTTCGCGAAACCTTGAGTTGACCAATTTCCAAATTTTTCCATGGACCACTGGTTGGCGATTGCTGGTTTCCAATATCTTTCTAATAAACAGAGAAATATTAACAGCAGTATTATTTCTATTCTATACAACAGTGGTGCCCAACTACAGCTGATCTCGGACCAAATCTGGTCTTTGAATATCTCTGACATAATTTATTAATGATAGAAATAGGATCATTCTGTATATATATCATATAAAATTCTGTGGTCTGTCTAACTATGGCTTATGTGCAATTTGGCCTATCAATCTAACAGTTTGGGCACTACTGCTGTATTACCTAGTGGTATGTTATAGCTTCATGGGACCCATGCAATTTGAATTAGGAGGCCCCATGTACAATGTTGACTTCAGACATTTTTTGGAGGGGAAATATTTGGGCTCCAATTTGAAAAATTGTAGACCTGTAAATTCCACTATCATTTCGTGTTTGGTTTTAGGTTCAAATAAAAAATCCTAAATGAGTGAGAATAAACCAAGCATTTTGCATTTCTTTCGTAATACTTCGCGAAACCTTGAGTTGACCAATTTCCAAATTTTTCCATGGACCACTGGTTGGCGATTGCTGGTTTCCAATATCTTTCTAATAAACAGAGAAATATTAACAGCAGTATTATTTCTATTCTATACAACAGTGGTGCCCAACTACAGCTGATCTCGGACCAAATCTGGTCTTTGAATATCTCTGACATAATTTATTAATGATAGAAATAGGATCATTCTGTATATATATCATATAAAATTCTGTGGTCTGTCTAACTATGGCTTATGTGCAATTTGGCCTATCAATCTAACAGTTTGGGCACTACTGCTGTATTACCTAGTGGTATGTTATAGCTTCATGGGACCCATGCAATTTGAATTAGGAGGCCCCATGTACAATGTTGACTTCAGACATTTTTTGGAGGGGAAATATTTGGGCTCCAATTTGAAAAATTGTAGACCTGTAAATTCCACTATCATTTCGTGTTTGGTTTTAGGTTCAAATAAAAAATCCTAAATGAGTGAGAATAAACCAAGCATTTTGCATTTCTTTCGTAATACTTCGCGAAACCTTGAGTTGACCAATTTCCAAATTTTTCCATGGACCACTGGTTGGCGATTGCTGGTTTCCAATATCTTTCTAATAAACAGAGAAATATTAACAGCAGTATTATTTCTATTCTATACAACAGTGGTGCCCAACTACAGCTGATCTCGGACCAAATCTGGTCTTTGAATATCTCTGACATAATTTATTAATGATAGAAATAGGATCATTCTGTATATATATCATATAAAATTCTGTGGTCTGTCTAACTATGGCTTATGTGCAATTTGGCCTATCAATCTAACAGTTTGGGCACTACTGCTGTATTACCTAGTGGTATGTTATAGCTTCATGGGACCCATGCAATTTGAATTAGGAGGCCCCATGTACAATGTTGACTTCAGACATTTTTTGGAGGGGAAATATTTGGGCTCCAATTTGAAAAATTGTAGACCTGTAAATTCCACTATCATCTGCCTGTCTGTTTTTCTTTAATCTTAAGAACAGAGTTAGATAGATGAAAAACAAGACCAGATACGGAAACCTCAGGGATAGGAGGCCCTATTAACTATATACAAACTTTTGATGCAAACTGGAAGTCACATTATTTCAATTAAAAATTTTCCTCGTAAGGTGTTAAATGACCGGCATGACTATTATTAAAAGTATGATGTACTGTACAGGGACAAGTCACTATTAATTTTCATTGGAGAACATATATTTTAAATGAAATAAATTAAAAATATGATTAAAAATCAGCATTGACAATGTCAGAATAAACAATTGCTCATTTATTTATAGTGTTCCAAATGTTATTCCTCAAGTCCATAGTTAATAAATGCTATTTCTTGCAAAATGTAGCATAGTAGTAATGAGCCAGTTGGGCTCAAAGTGTCATCAAGTCTATTCCTTACAAGTAAATTTTTACTTAATCATCCTGTATATTTTTATATGATATAAAAATTTTAATACAAGACACCTACAGTATAATATCAATTTCTTTTATTCATTAGAATCAGATTAAAACAAATTACAATATATAGATAGATATCAATAAATATATAGTAGTAAACTAACTATCTATTATGTGCTTGATCATAGTTACTAATGTATTTACATATTTCCTTTTATAAAAAAGCTTACTATTACCATTATATTGTACACACTAATGAAAACTACATAGGATCTTCCAAGAAATGCTACCATTTTAAATTATGTAATTACGTTAAATATTATCTGAGAACATTGTAAGGGCACGTCTACACATTGGTTATTTGCCGAATACAAAATACTTGCTTTTCATTGGGGCATTTGCCGAACTGTGTCACTTGGCTTGTGCGCTGTACACACATTTGAGTATATGTCGAGCGTCGGTTCATTTTCGGCACAATAAATGTTTGTCGAAGATCTAGAAAATGGACAATTCTCATACAGTAATTTGTGCTCCTGCTTTTATAAATACAAATTGTTTGCATCTATTAACCCTTCCGTTAATTAATGAAAAAGACGCCAAAAAGAAGGTAGTTGATGGTATCACTTCACAAAGCAGAGGAATTTTTTAAAAAACATCACAATAAAACTGTATTGCAAAAAAGACCAGAGGAAACAAAAATTTAAACTATAAACCAAATCAAGAATAAAAGACTAAAATATCAATACTGATGACCAAAAATTAAAAAAAGGAAGAAAAAAAAAAACATTAATATGAGTGCGAATGCATAGACGGATGACACAAATAATCAATACAATTTACTGACAAGAACTGGGAATCTGCAAATACCAAACGCAAGTAAACCGTCCACACTACTCGGTATTTGCCAAATGTTTGCCCAGTATTTGGCGAATAACAAATGTATAGATGTGCCCTAATGTACGTTAAAACATTGGAAAACTGTTCAAGTTTCATATTTGCCCATTACAATTTCTCAATGTGTGCACCTTGTGTCACATGGCACACACCTGACCGATACTCAAATTCCTCCTAAGCTCACTATGGCATATCTGTTGTCACTCTTCCCACAGCATCCACAATTCTACAGCTCCTGCAAATTACTCATGTTGCACAATGAGTGATTTTCTAGGATAGGTTTGTGCCGTCACAAGACACAAATTGCCTTCTCTGTTGCAAAGTCACCATTTTCATTTATGGTGCTTCCTAGAGGTAGTAGACGACAAGAAGTTTGAATGTGCGAGATGTTTTCAAATGTATAAATAAGGTAAAATACTGTTTAAGATCCTTATCAATACTGATTTCAATGGGAGAGGCATAACTGGGAAGACAAATTTCTCTTATTCATTTATGTCAATTATGCATTTCATAACTTGATATAAAACTTGGTCAATCGCTCTATCGATCAGTATACATCGCATACTTCTCAGATAATAATTAACATAATTGCAGTAATGTAAAATGGTAACATTCATTTTGGAATACACTGTATTTCAAAAGCTTTGTGTGATAGATATTAATGACAATTATTAAGTATGTTTACTGGCGTTAAGGAATAGTCGAGTCGTTTCGGATACAACATTGAGACGGTGCAGTTTTCCAGTTATAAATATAAGAAATTCTTCTTCTAAATTCTTTATTACATAAGTTACCATTCTCAATGAGATTTTTATGTTTTTCAACCATTTGTTGGATGTTTTGTTTATGAGTAATAAGGTAGCTGTTAAAACATCCACGTGACTGAAATTCTGTATCAAAATTTGGATCGTGAACTCTGTTTATGTTCAAAGGAGATAACCAAACACCCAACGAAACGTCTTCGCTATTATAAAGTTGTAGGTAATCCGCATTTTTAACTATGAATTTCACTAAATCCGAAGATAAGACATAACCGCCGCCTCTTGCATAAGGCAAATAATAATCGCACAGAAACCAATTTTCTTCTTTCCACTGGCCTCTGTGTTTTACGCGCGATCGTCCATCGAAAAATCCCCAATACAGTCTCTGTTTATTAGTCATCAGTAATAACTTATTATAAATGAGATCTAATTGAGCAAAACTATCGTCGTCTACCTTTGTGACAAATTTAAAGTTGACGTTACTGTCTAGCCAAATCATAGACTGAATTAATTTGGAAGTCAGTTCCGCGTAATAGTCTTTAAGCGACGAGAGGAGAAGTAAATCATTATTTACATAATTCTCTTCTTTTAGTTCTTGTTGTTCTAGTAATGATAACGATGCCGTACCGATAACAAAAAAGTGCAAAATTTCGTAATTTGTTTTCAACCATGTTGACCTTATGGCATTTCTTCGATCTTTATTGGTAGGACTGCTGAATATTAATACTACTAAGAAAGTATTGAGAGGACGTTTATCTTGCCATTCGGATACAGATTTTTTCGAGCCCTCCCTTTCGTAAAACACATTTTTAAGTGCATATTCTTTACAGCAATCTTCATCATACCAGCTGTGTGTCAGCAACATTCCTAAAAATAACCCAAGGAAAAATACTATTCCTAAAATACAAAAAAAAAGTAAATTAAATTTGAATCTGAAGACTGTCATCTTATTTGACATGAAAAATCCAGTATCCAAACTGCATTTTGACAGTCATGCTGACACATGATACAGGATTGCAGAAATTACAAATACTTTCCTAAAAAAAGAAAAAGAAAAATATTTGTAAAAATTTTATGCAAAGTCACATAAAGATAATTTAAAGTTTCAGTTAAGATTAATTTAATTAACTTTAAAATCAAACGAGCATTCGTTCTTTGCTCTATACAAGATTTCTGTCTTCACCGAGTTCCAATTAAGACACATTACATTTTGATAAATACACAGGGATTCTGGAACCATAGGAGTTATCTTTGTTTATTCTTTCACATGTACTGTACTGTACACGGTACTGAATAAAGATGAATGATTTGAAGTTACTTTGATGACAGAGTCTTGAAGTCAGAATGAAGTTATTGAAGAGTATAACAAGCTTCATTGTCTTAGATTCAAATTGTTCAAGTACTGCGCAACAAATCTTTTCTCTTTTCCAGATAGAGAAACTGTATACAGATACGGTTCACCCAATATCTGTGCGAAAATGGACACCTCCAGCTGGGAGTGCAAATTCTTCCATTTCAAGGATTTATGTTCCCAGCTGGAGTGTCCATTTTCAGATATCGAGTGCACAGTGTCCATGAAAAGCTTCATTTAGACTTCTCTCCAATCATAAACGGCAGTCTAGGTGCACCTTGTTAATGTTTGTTTGTTTAGTTATGGCACGTAACATTTGGGCGATCTGCCTAGGTGGGTGCCTTCCTGGATGTGAATTAAAACTTCTTCCAAAACTTCAGACTATGAGGCGTTAAATATAATTAAAATATTTTATTCTTGCAAGCGCTTTCGACGTAAATATGCACATCGTCTTCAGGCAATTCAAAAACGAATAGAGAATTCGAACCATACATTTAAATTTAAACATTAACGATATTAGCCGTTTAAATTTAAATGTATGGTTCGAATTCTCTATTCGTTTTTGAANTCGCAATTTAAAATATTTATTTGAAAATTATCGTGTTTTAGTAACAAATGGGAATAATAGAATTACGTATTGGTATGCGCGCCGCTTAACCTTCCCGGCAACATTTAAAATTGCGCGTGTGCCGCCATCTGTTACGATATTTTATTATTTTAAAAACTTTTTATATTTTTAATTATTATAAAATGGCAAAAACCTTAATTCTAAGGGTAGGGATGGATTTCATATACGTTCATAAATTACTTTTATCTTTTAAAGTTACAGCTTCTGCTGTAAGGGGTAACCACTATTTGCTTTATTACTTGTGTATTTAAAATAAACAAAAAAATAGTGTTATAGCTACGTAAATATAACCAGTGGCGGATCAAACACTCAGAGGACCCTAAGCTCAACCTAGTTTTGAGGCTATTGTTCTAAATACTATGTAATGCTATCAAATCAATTTGTTACTTAATTAAAACAATACTGATAAGCCAATTGTTTCCTTAAAAATAAATCCCTAAGTGAGTAGATAAAGATGGTATTTTGTGCCTGAGGGTTGTAGAATCTCTCAGAATCTGCAGTAAGGATATTTCTAAAGCTGCGGAAGCCCCAAGTGCACACTTGTGCCTGCACGATCTGCCACTGAATGTAGTAGTTATGAATTTATGAAATGTTCCCTTTCTACAGAATCATTATAGACAATTTCACTAAATGAACTAAGTGCATCAGTGCATGCATTTATTAAAAGAACAGGTTTCAGTGTGCATCATTCAGAAAAAAAAAAGTTGCTTCAGTGCCAAGCATTGTTTAGGCTCAATTTTACAACAGTGCAACAATGTGGTTGCTCCCAGACATTACCATTTTCATTGTAAAGAGTACAAATGTTATATAATATTCTTATCTGTAGTAGTGAAATCGTGTAAGATTTGTTTTTCTGACATTTTGAAAGAACATACTTATTTAGTAATTTGCTATATTAAATTGCAAGCTGTGCACGGAAAGAACTGGTAATGATATCCAAGTTTACTGGATTTGTCTTATATCATTATCCTTACATTGGATTGTAAAAATATTCCAGTTTAAAGTAAAATATTTCCAGAAGCTCAAGATATACGTAACAGTCATATGCCAATTTGAATAAATTGACAGCACTATCCACTGTTGGAAGAGGAGAGTTTCCAACAGCGGTCGCCAACCTTTCTGACCTCAGGGACCATTAAACTCACAAGTTTGAATCCTGCAGACCTGTATCGTAAATTTATTTAAATGATACGAACATCTATGGAATAATGATCATAAAAGTTCCATTTTACTTTATTAATATGAATTCACTTGTTTAATTATAACAAATTAGTGTGAAGTTTGTTGCTGCTTGTTTGATAGGCTTATGGATTCTTGACTCTTCCGAGAAGGATGACAACTGCGCGCACATTATTTATCAATAACAGTCATTTCNTTCCTTTTTCTATGTGAAGTTTTTTGCATTTGTCTAGGCCAAACTCCATTATTATTATTATTATTATAAGCAATTTACATTTTAAATCCTATTTTAAAACTATGTATTTTTAGATTATGTATTTCTATTTATTCATTGCAATGCATGACTAAGTTGTATCACAGTTCTCTCACAATTTGTAATGTCAATTCAAGTCAAGTGAGTTTATATTGTATCTTTTTTCTTGTACTACTGAAGAGGAACTTTAAATTAAAACAGTTTGAAATTCACATACTGTAATTTAATTATCTCTTCTATTAATAATAAAGGACCATCGAAAAGATCAAAGTGACTGTTTCATTTTTTAAATTAAGGTGTCGGATATTTTTAATATCCTTTTCAGATATTTATTTTTAGTTTTATTATAGATTTTTAATTTCTGTACATAGTATTCTTGTAAATTTACCATGTATTTTATTTTATCCTTTGTGTATTCATTATATTGTAGTAATACCCGTGTTTTTTATGTTCCAACCTAAAATACTTTCGTTATTTGTGTCTTTTATGTAATTTTAAAGGGATGTTACATTGTTAATCGAGGAGAGGTACTTCTTGCCTATGGAATTACCTTTAAAATCAGTAAATAAATAAATTATTGAAGTTCTTTTCATAATGAAAGTGTAGTATGAGACTACCTTGGAACGGATTATGTTCGTTAACCGATCACCCACTGTACTTGCATGCTCCCATTTGCCAAACCTGCAATCAATCTTGTTCCCACCCTCTTGGATCTTTAACAACCAAAATTTAATAGCATCAATGCTCCTTATATACAAGCTATTATGCCAATTTTATTTCTTAACCTTTATCCCATCTTGAGACATTAAATAAAATAGATGCCAACATACACACATACACAGTCTCAAAACATGGAGATTTGCAAAGAATTTGGAATGTCAAATTTGACACAATTCCAATACTTTTCCTTGTTACCTCCACCCCTTGTAACCTTTGTGATTTAATTTTTATTTATTTGATTTAAAACATCATTATAAATTTAAGATCAGGACGATAATTCCAGACCAAGAAACTCTGCGTAAAATTAGTCTCATTTTCATTATTTGATGCAAATAGTATAAATCCGAGTTGCATTTAAGTGCACTATGACTTATTGTGTGCATTTATTATACATCATCATATTACATTTTACATTATTATACTGTTATTAGCGAGTACAACTGATTATTTGAACTCAAAAATAAATTTTTATCATTGAAAACTTGTCCCTAGTGGATTATACATTGCTATAGATTATGGGGAGGAAATTATGGAGCTAATTATTTATCTAAGTTTTATTCCAACATAATATAGTGTATTATTTTATTTGTAGACAATTTCATTTTTACTGTTTTTTTCAATACAATAAAGTTTATTAGTTTATTTCTTTGTGAGAACAGTAAACGTGGAATTGCTTTTCAACTTTTGAATGTATTGATGCTAGTGCTCTGTGTAATAAAAAAGTACATGAGTGGTAATAAACATAACAACAAGTTATATAATTCAAACACAAAACATTTTTGCTTGTTCTTGGTGTCTTTGTGGATTTATTTACTACTACATAAAGCCAATATACTAGAATTGGACAGATTCAAACTCGAATCCCTCGTGTCAGTATGCTAAGACTTTAATAAGAATGCGCTAGCCATTATATTTACTGGCTGAATTAATCAATGCACCTTTAATAGCAGTGACATTTAAAAAACACTAAGGTGTTTAATCTAGCTAATGGGCCATCCTCCGGTATACACAGTTAAAAACAGAATTTCATTTCCAACCGTCAACTTTCAACTAAATCGAAAACATTAGTGTTCTTTCACCCAATGTTAGAAGCATCGATTAACTCAGCCAAGACTTTATGGTAAAATTGCAGTTCCAAACGAGGGGTTTGAACCCAAAATATTACTCCCTAGAATGAGGGTGGCAAATCCGTCGCACGTAACGTATAATATGATTTTAATTTATCACCTGACTACCGTTTTATCAGCCAGCTTTATTGCATTTATTTTAAATTAAAGCAAATTCTTTTAATTTCTTTAAATATCTTTATTCAGAGTCTAAAACTTTGGCAGGCAGAAACATCTTTAAAGCTAAGTACGCATACGTAGGCACACGAGCTCAAAAAGGTTTGCCATCCCAGCCCTAGACAACCAGAAAAGTCAGATCCGCATCTCTAATTACGACCCTTGAGATATTTGCCTCAACCGGGCCGTTCGTTAAACACACAAGACTTAACGGAGTACTTAGACGACTCCAATCGCATCCCATCAGTGGTCGGTGCGACAGCGTTTCTCGGTGTTTTACAAGCTTTATAGCAAGCTTAGCCACTCTAGTAAAGTGAATAATTGTTGATTGTTGTAGGTCTTTGAAATTCCAGAAAAGAGCGATATCAAGGGTCATATCTTGTAAAGGGTCACACATAGACCGCTGGTTCTTTTGACTTTTTTGCTCCTATGGGCACAGTCTATACTTCTTATAAGGTCCCAACTGCCTCATCTATATGAGGCCTTGGGACCCTATAACAATAGTCTACATGATCACGTGACTAACTTGATCACGTGCTCGTGTAGAACGTTATTTTTCAGTTTCATTTCTGCAGTTGATTTCAAATTTTTGTTAAATAATACAACTGAATGACATATAATAA